CTGGATGCTTTATCTTCAAAACTATATCCAAAACCCTATTCAAGGTAAATCAATAAAGTTTTTAGAAAAGATAAATAAAAAAAATACCTTTAAGGCCTTGGAGTCGGCAAAGAGTCCTTAAACAGGACACAAATGTGCGCTCACTATAAATGAAAAAAATGGTAAATTGCACTAAATTAACATTAAAACTGTTCATCAAACATATGATTAACAGAGTAAAAAGGCAGGCCACTAAGGAGAAGAAAGTTTTTACGATTAATGTATGACTCATATCCGGACTATATAAAGAACTCCTACATAGCAATAAGAAAAAGGCAGACAACCCAAAGGAAAAATGAGCAAACCTTTGAACAGGCAATCACAAAAGGATATCCAAATAAACATTGAAAGTTTCCAAATATTAGTCATCATGGAATGCACATTAAAACCATAATGTGACATCACTACATCCCAAATTAAAAGGCGGATGGTAGCAAATGAGGATGAAGATGTGGAACAACGAGCTATCATACTCCCCAGGTGGGAGTACTGACTAGTACAATCACTTGAGAAAACCACCGGGCAGTATCTACTAAAGCTGAATATAAGGGAACCCCATGATCCAGGAATTCTAGTAGTGGGCATATACCCAAGAGAAACACATACAGATGTTTTTCCCATTACATTTGTAATTTCCCAAACCTAGAAACAATCCAAATGTCCATCAACAGTAGAATGGATAAATACAGTGTAGTATATACACACAAGCAGTACTTTTCTGCAATGACAATTAACTGCAACTATAATACATGTAACATTTATAAATATCACAAGCATAACACTGAGTGAAAGAAGTCAGACACAAAGAGTGCATACTGCATCATTCCGTTAGTGTGATATTCTAAAACAGCTAAACTAATCTATGGTGTTAGAATTCATGATTATTGATTCTTCTCAGCAGGGAGTGCCTGAAAAGGGCGGAGGAGGTAGCTTCTGGGGTTCCAGTAATGATCTGTTTCTTAATCGGCCTGGTGATTATACTTGTGGGTTCATTTTATGAAAATTCATCAAGGCATACTTTTCTGTATGTTAAACTTCAATTAAAAATTACATTATATGTAGTTATATACGTATATGTGATATACATACATACACATACATGCACACATATGTAAAATATAATGCAAATGTATTTATTTGCACACACACACACACACACTCTCCATCCAAAATGGAACCACTCCTGACTGTTCTCTCCAATCCAAAACTACTGCAAAGCTCTTTGCCCCAACTTCTCTCTTGCAGTCTTCAGCTGTAGCCAGAATGATAATTTTTAAAACAGAAGCTGGGTCATATTTGTCCTTGGCTCACAACCAGCAGTAACTTCACATGTCAATCAGAATAAAATCCTCAGAGGAGACATATACACTACCTGACAGCCTCACTACCCACACCCGTCACTTTTATTCCACTTCCCTGCTTTATTTTTCTTTACAGATCATATCACCAATGGGCATAGCATCCACTAGGTTATTTAGTTATAACTGGTTTCTCCAACACCAGTATGTAAGCTACACAAGAGCAGGGACTCTTATCTTTCTGTTTTATATCCCTAACACCTAAAATAGTGCCTGGCATAAAGTAGGCAATGAATGAATGAATGCATGAGATCATCACCAAAAAAACAAAGGAGATAGACAGAATGTGTATGTTTCTTTTTAGATTAGGAAACTAAAACGATGAAATTATATTAGGGAACAAAAAAGGAAATTATTTACTTGATGTTTGCAGGAGTATAGTTCTGGTCTTCTTGTTCTCTTTTCCCCTCCCCCACTCCCTATTTCTTGCTTTGTCCTTCACTTTCCCCATTCCCACACATGCACACATACAAACACAGGTGTAGGTATCGGTTCTTCTAATTGATGGAAGTAAGAATGTAAACTACCCTGTTCAATACAATTTATAGCCACTTTACTCATATTATAGTCATGAAATATATTCTATGTTACAATATATATGAGTATACGTGTGTGTATAGAGATTATATAATCCTAAGTGGCTGAGAATTCAATTAGAATGACAATCAGGTAAAGATTCATTATATTGGAATTAGACATTTTTACATGAGCCTTGTTTTTTCAGTATATGGCACATGATATTACGTGATATACGAGTACATGACAGTAAAGAACCTATCATTTTTGTTGCCAAAAATATATGTATTTGGGACCTAGGGCTGCTCCCTTTGGCATTTGGCATAAAAAATTTTTCAAACAAAATAACACCATTTTGTTAGGCCCTGCAACAACGGAAAACTTTTCAGACCCTGAAAGTGAGCCTTTTGGAAGTAAATATGAATATATCCAGAAATCAAGATTGTTTCAGTCAGAAGTCTTACCTCCCTGTTCTCAGAATGACTTGTAGAGCCCACAGAGCAGACAAGGATGTTTAAGGTTAATTTCTGTTTCTATATAGATATCAGTTACTTTGTCAAAGGGCTACCAGGTGGAATTCACCACTTGGCAACTTGTCTAAAAGCTAGCTAAATGTGCAAATGTGAGTGTGGGGAGAGGGGAAGTTACAGTTTGGTTGTCAACCTAGTTGACCCTTTACTTTTGGTTAAAAAAAAAAAAAGGAGACTTTTTAGCCCTTTCAGTTACTAAATAGCTGACTGTACCGTTTTGTTGGTTTGTTTGGAAACAAACAAAATGGAAACAGTGATAAGATCCCAATTATATGCTCAACTGCTAGTATTAATCTTCTTCACCTCCTCCCTCTCAGAATGCAGTCAAGACATAACTTTAAAAGCAGATTTAATAGGGCCAGCCGAGTGGCGTGTTGGTTAAGAGCTGGCTTGGGATGCCAGAGGGCCCCGGTTCGGATCCCATATATGAGGGCCAGTGACACTGCCATCTGCAGCTAAGATGGTGAATGGCAGCCCAGCCCCAGGTTGAGTCACCGGCAATGGCATAGGCTGCAGCTTCCTGCTGCAGTGAGTTGCCATAAGCTACCGTGTGTAGCCAGCAGCCAGCGTGAGTGGCCATCCGGAGCCCAGTGACTGATCTGCCTCACCTGGAAAGAGCACAATGATGGTGCCAACTTGGGCCAGTAAAAGCAACATCCTCCACAACTAGATTGAAGAACAAAACAACAGCAACTTGTCTGTTTCCCTTCCCCCGATTCCCCAGTGCTGTTCCCCTCCCCCAATTCCCCAATAAAATCTTTAAAAAAAAAAAAAAAAGCAGATTGAATAATAAAATGAAGCCTAAGATACACTGAGTGTAGCAAGGCCAATGTCAGAAGATCATTCATTCATCAAGTAGTTAATATCTATTAATAAGTAGAAAATGATGGTTAAAGGGAAAGATGGCTTTTACTTCTAAGTGAGTGCAAAGTAACCATTAATGTCAGGGGAGAAAGCAATGCCAAAGTTCATTTTGAAGCTCAGATATACAGATCAGGAGGGAAAAGTGTAGAGTAACGAGGACACTTAAGTGACTCCAGTGCCAGAACTGTGGCTTCACCTTGACCTCATGACTTGGAGGCTGTGTAAACTAGGGTAAGTTACTTAAGTGCTCTGCATCCCAGCTTCCTAGGGATGTAAAACGAGGATGGTAAAAACGTCTATCTTTCAGGGCTTTTGTAAAGATTAAATGAGGCCTTAGTTCTAAAAATATTTTGTAGCCAAGAATATGCAGTGATAATGTACTGGATTATTACTGTGCTTAAAGAATTCATTGACTACTCTTCTTGCCTTCTCTCTGCCTCCTAAAGTCACTTCTCTGAGGTTTAGCTAAAGTTAGAGGTCTGCCTATACCTGTGGTTTTAGATTAGAATATTTTTTACTAGCTTGATGAAAAACTTTCATTTGTTTCATTTCTGAACCGGCCTGCCTAAATGCTGAGAATGGAGCTATGGTCTTCTCTAAGTTGTAAATTATCAATGCTGCACATATATGAACAAGCAGCTCCCTAAAACCCTTTGGGGTAGGGAGATTGGAGATGGAGATTAAAAAGTGAAGGAAATCTCTTCCTTTTCCACCCTAGGATGGAACACGGTCCCATTTTCCTAAGTATTTTATTTCCTCTCTATAATAGAAAAAAGTGCCTATTTAATGAACACTTACCTAAGCCAAGCACTGTGCTATGCATTATTTCATGAAATCCTCACAACATACTAATATACCCTGTACTAGTATTGACACTTATAGGCAAGAGGGTTATAAGGAGAACAATTAAGTCGTTTGACCAATATCACATACCTGGTAAACGGCAGATCAACATTTGAACCCAAACCTGCCGAATTCCTTTTCCAGTCTTTTTCCATTTGTTAATTATTTACCGCCTACCTGTTAACTAACTTTGGGTGTCTGTGTTTGCCTTTCTATCCCTTTACACTTTCATCCTTGGCATGCTTGTAACGAGGAGGGTAGAAGCATATAACAAAGATGCCTCAGGTGTGGTCCCTGTGTTCAACTGTTATAATCCACTGGCAGGAAGATGACAGGCCAAAAAATCTCTATAAGACATGCAAGAATTTAAGAGGTCCAGAAGGGATTGAGCATCAGTCTCTCCAGCTGTCACACGGAGAAGACTCCTACTCAACCTCACACAGCAGTTGTTAGGACAGTGAAATTCTTGTGTTAAGTGCTTGGCAAAGACTTTGTCTCATAGTAAGTGCTCAGTATACGGAATCCATAACATTGCCAGACAGTCCCAGGAGAATAACCAGGATGCAAAGCTAGCAAAGCAAGTAGGCACCAGATTTTGAGAGCACTGAGTGCCAGTCTAAAGAGTCTGGACCTTCAGCATGGTAAAAATCATTGTGCCTAGGTCAGTAATCATTCTGAAAAGAAATGAGAGCTGATGCTATTTCACGTTACCTTTCCAAATTCATCACAAGTGAGATGGCATTGGTGGGAACAGTTGGAACTAGTTTAAAGGAGTTCTGTATTTGATGTACAATACTAAAAGGAAAGATTATATTTTCAAGTTTGATACCTTGTGCTTTTTCTTCCACAGTAATTAGTGAATGCCAAAGACAGCAACTGCAGTCTGTGAGCTACTCCTCTCGCTACGCTTTGGGCCTTTTCTATGAAGCTGGCACGAAGATTGATGTCCCTTGGGCTGGGCAGTACATCACCAGTAATCCCTGCATACGCTTCATCTCCATTGATAATAAGAAGCGCAATATAGGTCAGTACCCCCATTATTTCCCTTAAATACAGTAACAATGGTGGGTGTAGATCCTGAAACATGCTGTTTAATTGAGTGTTGCCATTCTGCACAGAGAAAGCATTTAACTCCAAGCCACAGGGGATAAAATTTAATGTCACATTTGGCCAATAATAAAATACACAGTGAAACCAGTGAAGTTTTTCAGAAAATCATTCACCACATGGTTTATATTACTGAGTTTATGAAAACAGTATCAGAAGGTTTAAGATTTCAAAATGGCCCAAGTTCTATTGCGTTAAGAGGGTTCCATCCACATGCAAATGTATGTCTCATCATTGGTTTGTTGGCGGAGTTTATTTGGTTTTGTTTTTGAAATTTGGTAAGTGCTGCTCTTGTTTCCACTCCCCAGGCTAGAAAAGAAAGGTGAATTTTACGATGTTATGAACATTCCTTACTTTAATATAATTTTATTTAATTTACATCTTGGAGATTACATAAAATTATTTTGTATACAGTGTAACTAAAATGATAGGTAAAATGTTTATAAGTGCTTTACTAGAATGGCATAAAATCTACACTCTACCCTTTTTGTTGAAGATAGTTATAAAAATTAGACTTGAATTGCGAGAATAAACATAACTGATTCATTTCAGACATAAAGGTGAAAGTATATTCTTATTTGTAAGATTGTGGTGATCCCTGAGGTACTGGTTATCATGGAATAAATTGTGGTAATCTAAAATGACTAAATTGTTGAAGAGAATCATCATTTCAATTTATTACGGTGTTTTATAGTACAGTGATAGTTTAATCGAGCCATTAGTTTGAAGTCTTGCTTGATAAAATCACCAGCTAACGTCTCGTGGCTTGCCAGAACTTTATAATGATAGAACTGGGTTGGAGTATGGTTTTATATCAGAGCACATGATCTTAGAAAAATGTTTCTTTTATAACTTAAAACTCCCTAAGGGCTGGACTGTTTATGTTAACATGATACCACGTATATGTACAATCAGCAGTTCACGAAATGCCCTATGACAGCAATAGACTAATCATTTTTAACTCTACAACTGCTTTGTTCTAAGGAAAAGAAAATAGCTCTTGATCTTATCATGTTGTATGTCATGAATTAGACATTCTCCTTTGTGGATGGCTTCATTAGACATGATATCTGTTAGGATGTATTCAGTAATACATACCAGAAAAAAACAATTTTAACTTGTTTAAACAACATAAGGACATTTGTTATATTATCTGCTATGGACTGAATTTTATCTCCCCACCCTCCCACCCCCAAATTGATATGTTGAAGCCCTAACCCCAAATGTGATTATATGCGGGCTTTTAGGAGGTAATTAAGATTAAATGAGTTTATAGGATGGGATCTTAATCCAAAAGTATTCCTTATAAAATGAGGAAGAGAGTGAGAGAGCTCTCTCTCCCTCCTTGTGCACACACCAAGGAAAGGCCATGTGAGGATAATGAGAAGGTAAAAAGGTGAGCTATCTGCAAGTCAGGAAGAGCCTTTACCAGATCAGTTGATACTTTAATCTTGGACTGAGAGAAATACATTTTTGGTACTTAAGCCACCCAATCTATGGTATTTTGTTATGGCAGCCCAAGCTGACTGATACATTATCTAAGAGGAAGAAGTTGGGGAAACTTTGGGATTGGTTGATTCGAGAACTGAGCAATATCTTCAAGGACTAGGATTTAGTCTTCTCTGCTCTCTTCCACTCTTGATGTTGACATCCTCAGAGGACTGGTAGCAAGATGTAAATAACTGATCGAGTCACATCCAGACCCAACGACATGTTTAGGAAGAAGGACTATTACTGTCTCAGTCCCTTTCTAAGAATCAAAGAAATCTTTCCAGAAACCGCTCAACTGACTTCATCTTGTATCTCATAGATCAGAATTTGATTACTCGACCAAGTCTGACATTAATCACTGGCAAGGAGGGTAGGACTACCATGATGACCTGAGATAAATTGAAATCTACTCCTGGAACTGGTATTAGGATCATCTTCTTTTTAGTACTATGAGGAGCAGACACCTAAATAAAATTGGGTTTCATTAGGAAGAAAGAAAGGAGTAATGGATCCTGAGTTGGCAACAAATAATGCCTATTATCTTCAAGTAGAGTCATGTCTTATGTGGGAGGGAAAATTCTAAAGTTTTCACATAGAGAGAAGAATCATGTATATTCAAAATTATCTTTGAAAATCCCTTAAAACTACATGACATTTTGGAGAGTGACTCAACTTTCAGTAAATTCAGTATTTTTCCAACATTTATAGATTTCATTTTCTTTGGGTGAGGCCAGATGAAATAGTTGGTTTACATTTATGGAGCAGAGTGATATTTTCTACTATGAAAGGCACACAGAAAAGAAAATAATAGCAGTCATACCTCCTACCAGATTAAATTCTCTGTACAAATGGAATGATTTGGTAGGTGAAAGCATCCATGCTACACAATGCAGGAGCAATTTATAAAATCAGAGCCATGTAGACTTGAAAGAGTGCAACATAAAAATATGAATAAATTCTCACATGATTGGCAACATTTGAAATAATAGAAATACAATTTTTTTTTATTTTTTATTAACAATCACAGAATTTTAAAGCCAGAGGGTGAGGAGAATTGGAAACCATGTTTTTGCTACAGCCCATGGTGGGGCCACTTCAGACATCAAAGAAATACCTGCATTCCTGTGTCCATTTTATGGAAAACTAATCTTGGATTATGCAAGTTTCAAAATATGGGAGGCCTTTAGTAATGGTGTTCCCTAACATGAAATCTAACTGCCTTGTATTTAAACTATTTTGGGGGCCAGGATGCTAAGTGTGTCTAGTTGAACCCACATAATACAAATGTCCATATACTATATAACTGTACTGTATTTTATTGCCATTGATATTTAACTATAGGGTTGTCAGAAAAGTCATGACGTATTTTGTCTCTGTTTTTCAAAGGTCATTTATTTATATAAAGAACCGAAGATCAATCAATGATATATGGCCCATTTTGTTCGATAACCTTTTGCCATCTTTCAGTGAGCTTCATAATTCCTCGTTCATAGAAGGACTTGTGTTTATTTGCGAAAAATTGAGCAAGGTTCCAATTTACAGCCTCATCTGAATTGAATGTTATACCACGCAAGGAGTTTTGAAGAGAACAAAACAAGTGGCAGTCTGATGGCGTAAGGTCAGGCGAGTATGGTGGGTGTGGCAACACATCCCATCCAAGCTCCAATAATTTTTGATGGGTGATCAAACTTGTGTGTGGTCTTGTGTTCTTGTGATGGAACACAACTCCTTTACGATTAACAAGCTCTGGACATTTCTGGATGATGGATTCATTCAAACTGTCCAATTGCCAACAGTACATATTCACATTGATTGTTTGATTCCTTGGTAGGAGCTCAAAAAACACAACACCTTTAAAATCCTACCACACTGAGGGTATAGCCTTCCTCTGATGAATGTCTGCTTTCGATGTCGTTTGAGGCAAATCATCACATCAGGACCAAGACCATTTGCACACCACATTGTTGTAAACAATCCACTTCTCATCACCAGTTATCAGTCACTTCAAAAAAGGATCATTTTCCTCATGTTTAATGAGCATATTGCAGATGTTTATACACACCATCAAATGAACTTTGAATTCATGAGGAACCCAAATGTGGAGCTTGCTTATGTATCCCAGCTTCTTCAGGTGGTCGTGAATGCTTGAATGATGGATGTTCAATGTTTCTTCAATCTCTCCTGTTGTATAATGTAGGTTTGGCTTGATCAATGCCTTTATTTTGTCATCATCAATCTCGGTGGGCCTCCCTGACCAAGGAGCATCGTTGAGACCGAAATCACCAGCACGGAGTTTTGTGAACCATCGTTGGCACTGATGTTCTTGTAGAGCATTGTCACCGTAAACTTTATGCAACTTTTCACAAGCTTGACATGCTTTCTTCCTTTTAAGGAAGTAAAACAGTAAAATATGGCGAAAATGCACAGTTTAGTCTTCCATCTTCAACTTGTAAAATCTCCAAAGCTCAACCAAATAGCTCAATTTTTTTTAAATGAAGCTAGAACTGTCAGCTGTCAAATGACATAACAATGACATAGATGCGAATGACTCTAGTACTTCCAAAAATGAACTAGTGCCATCTGTTGCAAAAATGCATCATGACTTTTCTGACAACCCAATAGACCAGCAAGTGTTGTCTCTATATGTCACTATCACTACCCCATACCCATCCTTTATTTGGGGTGTTTGATTGAATCAGGAATTAACACTGAAATACACACACTCAACTAATGAAGGGAACATTTGTGTTCTGCCAAGGTAAGGCATCAAGAAAATAGACAAATACTGGCAGGGTTGAGTCTACAAAATGCAATCTGTTGTTAAGTCTTAAAGAGAACCAGAGGATAAAGGATTAGTGGCCCAAACCAGACAAAGGCCATAGAGTAATCATTTGTCATCTGTCAGGAAGAGGCAATACATGCAGAAAGCCACAACCACAACCAAAGTCTCTTTAGACAACTGGCCTAACTTCCAAGATGTTCTAGACCTAATTCAAGTACCTGTAGTAATGGGTATGACCCAATATACATAGGTTTGTGTTTCCCAAAATGTGTTTAATGGAACACTGGTTCCTTGAGCTACTTTTTGGGAAGTGGCTCTGTCATCAAATAATTTTGCAAAATGCTACTGACTTTACCCATATTTTGGAGCGTGTGAGAGCATATTATCTTATTAGAAGACATTTCTATAGGTGCCTTCTCACTTCATTTAATCGGAAATTTCTCAAACGTACTTGACTATTGAATATTTTATCTGGGGGTCAAACCTACTACTATTCCACAGAATTGGTGCCCCAGGACACACCGAGAAACCCTGACTTGACACTACAGTTTGTGCCTCAATCCTGGCCAGGAACTATAGACCAGATGATGAGGTTGAGGAAGTCTGGTACTGGGCAGACACCTGAGGTTTTTTAGAGATGGAAA